GATAACAAGCACTCACACCAAATTTCGTTAAAATCCGTCAAGAATTGTGCCTTCTAGAGTGTTTACAAGCTAAAAATTGAACGCGTTTTTAAGAATAACCAACAGTGATAACCAACACTCAAGCCAAATTTCGTTAAAATCCATCAAGAATTGTCCCTTCTAAATTTGAACGCGTTTTCAAGAGCAAGGGCAATAACTCAAACTAAATATTTTTCAATTTTTCTGTTTTTCAATACGGTTTATCAATGCGTGATAACCAACATTCATGACAAGTTTCGTCAAAATCCGTCAAGAATTGTGCCTTCTAGAGTGTTTACGAACTAAAAATTGAACGCATTTTTAAGAACAAGGGCAATAACTAATACTAAATATTTTGCAATTTTTCTGATTTTCGATAGGGTTTATCCTTGGGTGATTACGAACACTCACACCAGGTTTCGTCAAAATCCATCAAGAATTATGCCTTCTACAGTGTTTTCAATTAAAATTGAACGCGTTTTCAAGAACAAGGGCAATAACTCATACTAAATATTTTTCAATTTTTCTAATTTTTGATAGGGTTTATCCTTAGGCTGACTGAATAACCGTGTGTAGACAGTTATGTAGCGCGTGCAAGAGTTTCACTGTGCGTATAGCTAGCGCATTACCTCATGACCTGTACTGGCCTGAATCATTCGCTCAGTAATCCGTTAAAAATAGAAATTTAAAATTTGGTCGCATTTAAAAGTTCCGCGGAACTTTTAGTGCGATTATGCCTTATGTTTCGTGTATTTCCAATGAAAATCGCTTATTTACCCGTATTTAGTTTTAAATTAAATAAATGAACACCAATTAAAAGCTTGCTGTGTTCTGCGTATGACAAGATGGCCACTGTAGATAAAAAACAAAGGATCGAGAAAGCGTGTTGTTTGAAAAGGAATATTATAAAACAAATGCTTTTCGCACTTTGGTTGATAACTTTTGACACCATTGATAAAAGATTAATCTACTTTTGAGTGATTCTAATCATAAATATTGCCTAGTCAAGTCATTGTTTGAGGAAACAACTTTCTTGTGCAGACACTCATTTATAAAACATCGTCTTTTCGATCCAACCAGTATGCATTTTGATTTAGTAATATGTCATGACAAAGTTGGCTCTCACCCTCTCTTAAGACTAGTTCGAAACGTCCATTGGAAATATCGGTAAACGATAGGATTCAGTGTAGCCCTAGTCAAAGTTCACCCAAGAAAAGGAAGTTTAGTAAAGAGCTTTCACAAACGGCCTTTAACTGGTACGTTTTGGATACAGATAATGCAAATGGTTTTGTAAAGTATGTAGGAAAGCTAAGAATGATACAGCTCAAGCCCATTTAACAGCTGTCACTAGGAGTAAATTGAAAGATCAGCAACCATTCCAGACCATTGTAGCTAAACAATTAGATGCTGAAGAACACAACATGCTTGGTTACTCAATATTGCATATCATCTTGCCAAAAGGGAACTACCCAAGAGTGAATTTGCCTACCAGTTAGAACTGTTAGCTATGTTTGGATACCAAAGAAACAAGTTGTCATCATATACAAGTCACCAAAGTGTCACAGAATTTCAAAGTGCTATTTCAATTGTAATTTTGGCTGAGAACATGGAGAAAGTGAAGGATTCTGTTTATTACTCATTAGTTCTTGATGAAAGTACAGATTTGTCAAACAGCAAGAGCCTGTTGGTTTATATACAATATTTGACTAAATGTGAATTAGGACATTCTTTATTATCAAATATTGAAATTACTGAGGCTAGTGCCAATGCAGATATGATTGTCAGCAGAATTCTGATGGAACTTCAAAGGAATAAATTAAACCTGATAAATTTAGTAGGAATAAGAACAGACGGTGCCAATGTCATGACTGAAATAAAAGATAGCTTGCGATGCAAGGTAACATACGCCCATTGGCAGCTGTCAGAAATGATAAAACAGTCTTTAGTGACTAAAGTATGAATTTTCTCATATTTAAGAAATTATTCATGCTGAATAATTCCACAAAATTTTTAAAAATCAATATCAATAACCCAAATACAACAAACAAATAAATCACACAGCTCTAATCAAGGGCAAAAAACAACTTTTGACGCGTGTTTACAAAGTCAAGGGCAAAATCTCAAAAAATGTTTATCAAAAATATCTTTTGTTAGAACTTGTCCAAGATCTTATCAATTCCAATGATCACACCAAGTTTCATAAAAATCGGTTGAAAACTCTAGCTTCAATCCCGCTCACGAACTATTTTTAACAAATTTCGACGCGTTTTAACAAAGTCAAGGGCAATAACTCAAAAACCGTTCATCGAAAATGCGTCAAGTTAGAACTTGTCCGAGATCTTATCAATTCCAATGATCACAACGAGTTTCATCAGAATCGGTTGAAACTGTAGCTTCAATCCTGCTCACAAACAATTTTTAACAAATTTCAAGGCGTTCTAAGTCAAGGGTAATATCTCAAAAACCGTTCATCGAAAATATGTCAAATTCGAACTTGACCGAGATCTTATCAATCTAAAGCATCACACCAAGTTTTATCAAAATCAGATAAAAACTGTAGTCTCTATAGTGCTCACAAGAAATGTTGACCGAAGGACCGACCGACAGGGGTGACGACAATATACGGCCACATATTCATGTGGGCGTATAAAAACCGTTCATCGAAAAAGAGTCAAGTTAGAACTTGTCCGAGATCTTATCAATTCCAATGATCACACCAAGTTTCATCAGAATCGGTTGAAAACTGTAGCTTCAATCCTGCTCACGAACTGTTTTTAACAAATTTCGACGTGTTTTAACAAAGTCAAGGGCATTAACTCAAAAACATTTCATCGAAAATGCGTCAAGTTAGAACTTGTCCGAGATCTTATCAATTTCAATGATCAAGTTTCATCAGAATCGGTTGAAAACTGTAGCTTCTATTGTGCTCACGAACAAATTTTGACGCGTTTTTACAAAGTCAAGGGCAATAACTCGAAAACCATTCATCAAAAATGCGTCAAGTTAGAACTTATCCGAGATCTTATCAATTCCAATGATCACAACAAGTTTCATTTGTAGTGTCAATCCTGCTCACAAACTATTTTTAACAAATTTCGACGCATTTGAACAAAGTCAAGGGCAATAACCCAAAAACCGTTCATCGAAAATATGTCAAATTCGAACTTGACTGAGATCTTATCAATCTAAAGCATCACACCAAGTTTTATCAAAATCAGATAAAAAATGTAGTCTCTATAGTGCTCACAAGAAATGTTGACCAACGGACAGCGGCGACGACAATATACGACCACATATTCATGTGGGCGTTGAAAATTATGAAAGAGAAAAGCCTTTACTCCATGATTCACAGTTTAGTAGTGTGGATGGATTTTTAAATATTTTTAATATTGTTTAACTTTTAATTTACTTGATTATTTTTAATGCTTGTTGTTATGTTTTACATGAATATTTTTTTAGCATGTAATGAAATAAATGACAAAGTGATTTAATTAAAGAGTTGTCTGTTATTTAACACACATTATGATACAATCAATTGTTGTCACAGCATGACACATTTTCCAAATACTTTAACACGTGTATAAGTCTCCCCAAAATAAATGAAGTCTCCCTAAATTTTCATGAGGGAAAAGTGATGTCACCCTAAATTTTTGGTCTGGCTTGAGCCCTGGTTCATAGGTTGTAATTGTTACTCTACATCCAATTTCAAAATAAAATCTTTGCCCACAATTACCTCATTCTTTTGGCCAGTTTGTATTTACAGCTCAGTTGTTTCAGATCTATAGTTCCAAAAAAAGAACTGGTTTTAAAATTTCCATATTTTCAAATTTTGATTTTGACCTTTGTTGACTTTTGTTGACCTATATCTTTTGACCTGTGTGATGTAGAAGCTTTAAATTTGGAACACAACATAATATTTAGAATATCAATTAATTTATGCTACAAAAATGAGGGGGCGTGGCACATCTGGAATTAAATTACTCATTATTGACATTGTTGGCGCAAAGAATACATTTGTTAAAATGGAACTTTGCATACAATTACATGATCCTTTGAGCCAATTTGTCTTAGAAGTTCAGTTGTTTCAGCTTCATAATTCATAAAACAGAACAGGTTTTTTGAAATTCAATCTATTCAATTTTTGACCTTGACCTTTGTTGACCTTGACATTTGTAGGATCAAAGGTAATTGGGATTAGCTATCAATTTATATTTTATTTCATGGATGACCTTGACCTTCATTGGGTCAAAGGTCATTGACCTTTGCTATCAGTTGATAGAAAATAAATAACCTCCAAGAAGCCCAATTTTTGATTTTCGCTTTTGCTCTTTTGCAATTTCCAGTTGAAATTTTTGAAAGTTTGAAAACTCATTTCTCATGACCTTGATGACCTTAACTTTTATTGGGTCAAAGGTCATTGATCTTGGCTATTAACTGATACTTTCATATTTACCTCTGATCACTACAATTTAGAGCGTGTTGAGAACAGTTCTATAACAAAAGTGTAAATGATTTATTGTTCTCAGATGAATTTTAATAGAACTCATCACAAAAGTTAATTTTAGATGTTCTAATAACCTGGATGAAGGCAGAAACTGAAACTGTAGAACATGTCATGGGGTTAAGATGCATGCCAAAGAACTGTTCTCAGAATGCTTGATCCTTTACACAACCAAGTTTCAGAACTTTTTGGGCTTAATACTGCTTTATCTGAAATCAATGTTGTTAAGTAGGACTAGTGAGGTCATCTTTATTTCTTCATTTTGTACTCCTCCATGAGGAAGCTCTATTGTATTAGAGGGAAACATTGAAACATTGTACCCAGCTTATTATTTTAAACTGTGATCGCCATTGTCTTCTTCATGATTGGTTTGGATGTTCAACCATTATTATCAGTTTGATGTGCACATTCATTTCTGGGCCTGTAAAAAGATGGACAAGCGGACATGGTTGACACCAATATATGAATAAACAAATTTTACCTTTTCCCCTGGAAATATTTCACAATTAATTCCTTTCAATACTAAATTTAACCCTTCTCTGTATCTAGTCATGTAATTTTTGAAAGTGACCTTTCCCTCAGCTGGCCAGTTAGAAGGTGGTCTTTTACTCAGCAATTTCCAAGCTGCCTGTAAATAAAATAAAACTACTTCACATCCAAAGTTAAAAATGTATCTAGAAACTTCAGGACAGCTTTGGGCACGCCTTCTGTCCTAGTTCGTTTTCATGTTAGATAGTGATCAAGTTCCTTGACCTCTGATATTTTCATCTTCAAATCTCAACCCATTCCATAACACAAACATATGGTATTCCAAAAATATCAGCTAACCGAAGGTAAAATATTTCGAAATAGGCTACAATATTTTGGTTAAAACTCACTGACTCTGAGGATTGACATTCACTTATCTTTTAATGATCTAATGATATTATTTTACAGAATTTTGAGAGTTTACCTTTACCTGCAATTCATTTTACAACAGACATATTTCTTTGACACCTGTTGTGGAACTGACCACAGTGGCTGAATCAGTTGCAGAACCTGTAACTGAACCTGTTCTTGAACCAGATCCCAGAGCCAGTTCTACTGTCTGAATCAGCAGCTTTTTTGAGTCTCCAGTTCCTATAGAAATTCCTTGCAGATCAATCAAGACACCATCAAGACACGATGATTATGTCATGACACAGAAAATAGATGTAATTTCTCCCTGTGTGCATTTTTTGACCTTGTACTTATTTCTCCCTTGATGTTGACGCATAGTGAATGATAGATGGAGTCATTGTCAGGAGTATCACAATATTATCTAGATCGTTTTCAGCATCCCTATCCTTTAATGCATTTATCGTTATCTGAGAGGATATGGCAAGCTTTTCAAGTCAGTTCTTCTCTTTCTGTAATTTCTAGGTACAGTGTCACTACATCTAAAAGCATAGTTACCAAAACAATTGTCCAATTAAAATTCTACATCATCATTTGTCATCTTCACTACATATTGTTTTTCCCTTTGTTTCTCATAAACTCCATCACGGCACATATATCATACGCATTATTAGTCATTCTTGCGTTTAACAATCTGGTCTTTTCTGTTCCTTTTTGGTTTGTTTTGTAATTTTCTGTTTAACATAATTCTTTTATTAAAAGTTTCATAGTCTGCTTTATTTTCTTAGCTATTGCATTTTCTCCTATAGTGTATACATTTTTCTGTATCCAGTCATTTCTAAGTTCCTTGGCAGCAATAAAACTAGCACTGAATCTACTTACATTAATATTTCTTCTTTCAGAATTCTTACAAAGAGATAGCATCCGTCCAACTATGAAAATCCTACTATGAAGTTTTGTTTTCTGGCCCTTCAAAACAATTTTTCTATTTTCGCTCATTCTTGTTTTTATGTCCATAATATTATATACTTTCAATTCCAAATTAAGTCAACTCAAATCGATTTTTCAATATGTCATAATATTATGACAGAATCCAAACTGACAACCATTTCACGTTTATTTAAGGAGATATGATAGAAATCTGGCAGCTTTGATTTTGAATAAAAATATTTAGCAGTACAGTAACAATCACCAGTATGAAATATTCAACCTTCAGTCATACACTTCTTTTGAACTCTTTAGGGCGATACTGAATAATATTGAGTATGAGTTATTGCACTTGTTCTTGAAAACGTGTTCAATCTTTAACTCGTGAAAAATATTCAATTGTCAGCGCCTTCTAGAGTGTTTACAAGCTAAAAATTGAACGCTTTTTCAAGAACAAGGGCAATAACTCATACTCAATTTTTTAGATTCTTCTGATTTTCATTAGGGTTCATCCTTGTGTGATTACGAACACTCACACCAAGTTTCGCCAATATCCGTCGAGAATTGTCCCTATTAAAGTGTTTACAAGCTAAAATTTGAACGTGTTTTCAAGAACAAGGGCAATAACTCATACTAAATATTTTTCAATTTTTCTAATTTTCAATAGGGTTTATCCATGGGTGATAACTAACACTCACATCAAGTTTCGTCAAACTCTGTCATGAATTGCACCTTCTAGAGTGTCTTCTAGAGTGTTTACAAGCTAAAATTGATATAGGGCAAGGGCAAGGGCAACAACTCATACTAATTATTTTTCGATCTTTCGGATTTTAAATAGGGTTCATCCTTGGGTCATAAACACTCACACCAAGTGTAATCAAACTCTGTCATGAATTGCACCTTCTAGAGTGTTTATAAGCGTTTCTGTATTGTCATCTTCCAAGCAGATGTGTGATTAGTACTGTTCCCAATTGTCTGATTTCTAATCATATTATCATTTACCTGTTTATGACCTTAAAGATATTTAGAAACTTTTGGTAATTCAAAAAAAACTATTGAGCACATTGTGAAAAATAAATGAATCCATCTTGTTGGATGGAAACTTCCCTGCTGAGACCATTCAACAGTTACTGATGAGGCAACAGAAAACATCTGAAGGAATGACTCATGGAAGTGAAATCAGGAACAGTACATTGACAAAATAAGTTCATGTAACTTCTTAGCTGTGTTCCTATCTGTGATGGACTAGAATAGTTCACATAGTTACACACAGTCACACATATGCTTACAAAGAGCCAGGTCAAGACACAATGAAGATGTATCTTTGTTGGATGGCTTTTAATATTGTTCACCCATGACCAGTGAAAATACAGCACCACACTTATAAGTAAATGTTTTAAGCCAGACGTATTTGATTGTATCCTTAATGTGCCGTGTTACTGCTATCATCCTCATTGGTATCTAATCATGTAGATGCTGTAATGTTGCAATTGCGGACAGGCCAATGCATTTACTGCACATACAGGTATAAAATAAATACACGCTAACATGATCAGCAAAGTGTCAGACGCAATACCTGTCTCCTGTAAAGGTTTCATCCTGAATAATAAGCCCCATTCTGGTGGAGGTAAAGATTTACTCTCCGGTCTTGGGCTGTAAGATGAAAGGTAAGAAATTTTGTATTCATAAATAATTGGAACTGGCTTCTGGGCTTGTGGTTCGAAACACTTCTTACACTTCTATTGTGTATTTGGGAATCTTTTATGAAATAAAGAACTGTTATAACTTTATTGGCAGGTAGAGATGTTAATAGGACCAAAGATGGTTCAAGACATTTTGTTTAGACTGCACGAGATGTATCCCATAATACTCAGTAGCAGAGTATATCTATTTTTAGTAACGTTCAATGACATCAATACTGTAAGGTTCTAATATTCAAACTATGCTTAATATGATAGACTCAATAATGTCTCCCCTCTTTGAAATAAAATGTTGAAAACATTTTAGATAATGAAATATACAGAGCCACTTTACATAAAATAAACAATTAGAAATATCTCTTTGATATTAAAGTTAGCTTCAACATTTGAATGTTACTGATTGTACTGTGTATCAATTGTCACTGATTACTGCTGAAATTAAACAAACACAATACATAGTATTATTTAAACATATATCATAGATTATGTCTATCTGGCACATCTAGTTCTACCAGATCTAGTTCTATATGGTACATTTACATACTGATTTGGAATATCATGAGCTGGGTTTTGTTGATTGGGTTGAATATTTGGTGGATCGAGATTGTCATCTTCTCGGAATTCATCCATTATATCTGAAACATTGAAGTCAGTATCAGAAATTTTCTGTTCCTTCGACAGACTTTGCCTTTTACATTTCTGGCTAAATATGATCTTGGACTGACAATAGTAGCTGGTTCTCAAATATTTGAATCTTCACTCCATAATCTAACTGATTGTCCTCCTATAAGTTCTGTGTGGGGTTTCTTAGGAGCTCTTTGATCAAAATAATGTTTTGACAAATCTTGTTTCTTTGATAAACTGTTCTTAAAATTGTCTATCTGATTTATTAGTCAACACCTTTAAAGATTCACGTACTATAGGTAATAATGTTTGAAATTGTCTTCCCATAAGCAATTCAGCTGGTGATGGCAATTAATTTGACAAAGGTGTAATGCGATAATTCAACAGTGTTAAGTTTGGATCTTCTTTATTCTCCATATCTTTCAGTAACAGTTTTTTAACAGTTTGTATTGTTCTTTCCACTTGCCCATTACTCTGTGGATATCTTGGGCTACTATTTTCATGATTAATATCATACTTAGCACATAACTGTTTATACAGAGTACAATCAAATTGAGGTCCATTATCCGAGAATATTACTGGAATTCCTTGCTCTGAAATAACAGATTTAGTATGTGCTACAACATTTTCAGCTGTCATAGTAGTTCCTAATCTTCTAATCACAGGAACTTTGAGAAATAGTCTACAAATATCACATAATGAATTGGTTTCAAATCAAAAATATCAGTGGCAACCTTTTGCCAAATATATTCTGGAATGTCATGAGGTAACAATGGTTCACTAGATTGTTTCCTTTGATGAGTTTGACATGATTCACAAGTTGAGACAATGTTCTTAACATTAGCTGTGATACCTGGCCAGAATACATTTCTCGATACCCAGATATCCTACATGTAGTAGCTTTAAAGCATTTTGACATAATGAAGTAGGTATAATTAGTCTATGAAACTTGAATAAAAGACTGTCTTCAGTGCTGAGGTCTTCTCTGTAACTCCAATAAGGTAAGATATCTTTAACACACTTAGATCTTTTGTTAGGCCAACCATCAATGATGACTTGTTTAAGCTGTTGTAATATTGGATCTTGATTAGTGAGTATTGTTGATTTTATCTACAATTGTACTAGAAGCGTTGACTTGTTATAGTGTTGAGTTGTATATCAGATAAGTCCTCTTCCCTCTTTCAGCAAAAAGTCTGATCAACTCTGGACAATGCATCTGCTATTACAATAGTTTTACCAGGTATGTATTCAACCTTTACATCATACTTGGTAGTACGTAGCAAAAGTCTCTGAAGTCTAGGGCTGGACTTGCTAATTTGCTTTTTAAAGATAGATTCTAGTAGTTTGTGGTCAGTTTGTAAAGTAACTGATCTGCCATAAATATAGTGATGAAACTTTTCTAAACTCCATACGACTGCTAGCAGTTCTCTTTCTATATTACTGTACCGTTGTTCTGTTTCGGTCAGGGAACGTGATTTGTAACAGATAGGTTTAGAGTCTTGCATTGGGTTGCACCTAAGCCTTTAGCACTGGCATCACACTGAATCACATTTTTGTTCTTAGGATCATAATAGGTAAGAGTAGATAAGCTGGCTATTTCCTTCTTGATATCTTTAGATTACTTTTTGTGTTCTAGTTTCCATTTGAATACTGATGTTTTCTTAAGAAGATCTCTTAAGGGATCAGAGATCGTAGCCAAAACTGGACTGAAACAATTAAGGAAATTAACCATACCAAGAAAGGAATGCAAATCGTCTTTAGAATTAGGAGCTCTCAACCTTGCCAGGATCAGGTTTTAATCCTTCTGGTGTGCAAATATGACCAAAGAATTAAGTCTCTGTAACTTTTATCTGTAGTTTATCTGGATTAAATCTGAGATTTCTGTCTCTGGCTCTCTGAAATTGATTTCTAAAATTTATATCATGCTCCAATTCAGTTGCTCCAAATACAAATATGACATCTGCAATTCCTGAAATTCCTTATAGGTCACCAAAAACTTCATCCATTTTTCTCTGGAAAATATCTTGACTTAAAACCAAGCCAAATGGTAATCTGTTGAACTTAAATCTTCCGAATGGTGTAGCGAATGTAGTTAAATATGAACTTTCTTCCTCTAATTCAACCATCCAGTATCCAGAGCAAGCATCAGGAACTTATAGTCTTGAAGTAAAGACTGTTTAGTGAAAGGTTTGGCTTCTGATGAAGACACATTGATAGAGTAGTTAAATTTAATTAATTTCATCTCCCTACATGTGTTGTAACATTAAACACGACAGGATACTGAACATTTTTATGTCTGATGTATAAAATACATGTACCCATATTGTTGATTTTGGTTCCACCATAACTTGTTAATGTAGAACAAGGTGCGTTTAGTTTATGTTGATGAGGAAATAATTGTTGAAAGATATTCTCAGGTAATATATTAGCTTCAGAACCAGTATCAAGCTGTAAATCAACACCTATATAATGTTTATGATGAGGTTTAGTTGTAGGTGGTAGACGAACTAAAACCTTTGATGAACCATTAACATCTAAAAATTCAGTTTCGATGTTCTGTGGATTTGTAGATTTCTTCTCTACATCATTGACAAACAATGTTTTCCATAGTGAAAATATCCTGCTCAATATTGTGAACATCATTTTGCTGAGAGAGACATACTCTTGCAAAGTGTCCAAATTTGTTACACTTTTTGCATCTTTCAGTTGTTAGCTGGACATTGTCTTCTAGGATGTACATTATCTCCACAGTACTTGCATGAAGAGTCTGAACCAGATTTTGGTTGAAATTTTCTATAAGAACCTTGATTTTGATCATAGTTTTTCTTAGATGAACTCTGGCTGAATTGAGGTTTTCTTTGTTAATAATAATTGTGGTTTGAATTCAAAGGGCGAGTCTGTTGCTTGGCTGGTTTTCTGTACTGTGAATGAACAGCATGCACTATATTCTGGCTATCCGATGAGCCGAGTTTCATCTGTTTGAGTTGAGTATTGGTACATTCTGCGGTTCGTGCCTACTGTATGGCATCATCAAGAGTCAGTTTATTTCCTTTTGAAATACATTTAAATTGAACTCTGTGGTCAGACAAACCAAATACTAGAGTATCTCATTAGAGTGTTCATTAGCAAATTCTGCAGCAAAACCACAATCTGGAACAGTAAGCCTGATTTCTGTTAGAAAATCTTCTAAATTAGTTTCCCCTTGAGAAAGTGTCCTCAACTTCTGTCGGGCTACCATAATATTAGACTGACCTAGGACGAATTGGTCAAATTTCTCCCAGTATTTATCAAGGACCTTTTGATCATCTACACTCAAATTCCAGGAATAAATTAATCAAAGCCTCTGCCACCTGACCATAGCAGCAAATATTTACATTGTACTGCCTCTTCAATATCTTTCAAAGGACCAGTAAAAACAGCCTTACATTTCTGCTTCCGAAGTTGGTATCAACTGTGTAGGTAGGGCGCCTTTCTCCCAGTTGATTGATGGACCGGAATTAAGTGCTTGAATACCTGTGTCTGCTAAAGTTTAGTTTGTTTTCATCCCCCTTTCTGACACCATGAAACATATCTTACACTTCTATTGTGTATTTGGGAATCTTTTATGAAATAAAGAGCTGTAATAACTTTATTGGCAGATAGAGATGTTAATAGGACAAAAGATGGTTCAAGACATTTTGTTTAGACTGCACAAGATGTATCCAATAATACTCAGTAGCAGAGTATATCTATTTTTAGTAACGTTCATTGACATCATTACTATAATGTTCTAATATTCAAACCATGCTTAATATGATAGACTCAGTAATGTGACATTGTTGATTGGTGTTCAAATAATCCTCATTGTGAGAATATTTGATTAATTTATTGACCACGTGTAGGCTTTCATTTCTTTCGTTCAATCATACCTGAATACCATCTTTCGTTCAGTCATACCTGAATTCCTTTATGGCCACGGAACACAATAAACATTATCACTACGAAGTGTTTTATTACAGATGCAATGTCAGAAAGACAGAGTCAGTTGTTCGATCAACTATATTAGGACAAGTTAAAACCCTGTGAAAAGGTTGGTGTGTTCTATTTCTTTCTTAAACTTTGTGAATCGTTTAAAAAATATACTCACTTCAGAAGCAGTTTCCGAATATTCTTTCATTCTTTCTACTGAAACAATATTTGTTTCCAAATCACTTGTCATTCTTACCATCCAATTGAGCGAGCCAGTAACCTGAATACAATGATTATATGTTAGTTCTTTACAGTTCTAGTACAGATTCAGTTTTGAACTAACTTTTATTTATTCAATAAGTAATGATTATCATCATCTAATTTCACACATTTTTACCCTAATTATTAAGATATAAAAAGATATTTCTATTAATAGATGCTGCATTGTGGTATGTCAGCAAAGAATGGTATTAAACATTGAACAAAAATTTTTGACTTCATATATCCATCAGTAAACAGTCAAATAAGTTTTCCAAAGCCATAAATCATTGCAATATTTTGCTAATTAAGTAAAGACAAAATCATTCTTATGTAAAACAAATTGTGGAGATTTTATGTAAATATGTCATGATGTTGTAGGTGAATTCCTGAATTGTCTATTTTTAGCAACCACTATAACTCTGGTGTACATACTACCGGCAGTAGGATTTCCTTCAGAATATTTGGTTGTTCTTGTTATACAAAGCTGTGCCGAATACCAATCAAACATGCTGTTATGAAACATTGTCCAATGGGAACAGATGTTTTGCTTTTCACATGCAATGCACAACATCATTAAGGTCATTGTCAGTTGGTAGTCAGTCGGTAGTAAACTCAGACAGTAGTCTGGAGGTTAGATCCGTATGCCAAGGTCTATGTGAGATACAACACTCATACATCTAAGAAGAGTTGGTGTTCCAAAACAATCAGGTTTACTTAACATTAGTCTCTTCCTGCTAGTTAATACAACCATTTTTAAACTTTTAGTTTTTTTTTGACACATTTATGTAATACGCAAAGTACTTACTTGGAGAGCATAAGATACAGATAAACCGACTATGCCATCATCAGCTGAAAGGACTGCAAACAAAGCAGCAGCCAACACAATTAGACTTCCTAAAAATTCAAGTCGAAAGCCAAGCCATCTGAAATAGAATGTCTACAAATACACAATTATCATTATATAGGTAAAATTTTAGCTTTTTATCATTAAACTATATTACATTTCAGGGAAGAGAGGGTTTGATTCTCACAATTGAATGAAACAAATATGTCATTGAGAAATTGGAATGAGTGGTCTTGTAGTGATGGATATTTTTTTCACATTCAGATCTGAAAATAGATAGGTTCTGCTTTTTTGAATATACATGTACTTGTGACTGTTGTGATTTAGTGTTGATTTTATGTGTTTGGTATCAATTTAAAGAACAATGTTGATATTTTCATTTTTTTGTTTATACAAAAAAAAAAATCCCAATCCAAGATGGCGGAAGCATGATGACATCACTGTTTTATTTTGTTATTTTTGTGTAACCAAAATTTAGGAAATATTATGATAATGAATTCACGCACTAAATGAACAGCAACATTTTATCAAATTTTCTTCCTTTTGATAGGTTACAGGTAAATAGTTACGTCATTGAAAAAGTCCAGGAGAGTGGGGGCCATGTTTGTTTATGGAGCTCCTAATAGGACACTATTGTGTGTAAAAAATAAGTTTGTTTTGTCATTACTCAATTGAAACACAGTGTGACAAGGACAAACTTTGATGGCTGTTTGATTTTTCTAGTTAATACTTAAAGAAAGGCAGTAAGAACAACAAAGTAGTAACTTCATCAACTTTGGAAAAAATCATAGAAACAGTTTAAGTTTCTAATTATTTTATTGCTAAAGCATTATATTAGACCATATAAAAAATGGTTACGTTTCTATTGTTTTTGTTACGCATTATTGCTGCATGTAAATTGATGAAGTAGGACACTGTTTTGAACATGCGTTTTCTTTGAGGCATATGGTGGCTCTGTTGATTCCCTCTTTTTTGTTTATGACTTGTTTATGGAATGCTGGTAGTAGACAACTTGGTAAATGTAAACTGTCTTTATCTATAATATTGTAATTTCGGCTATATCCCCAGCAAACATATCAGATCGGACCTACATTGGACCGACAAAGACGTCTAAATCGGACCGACATCTACTGACATGAAGCCGATGTTTTACCGACAGCTCACCGACATCAGTTTTTAATCTATCTTCGAGATCTATTCGATATCAACTATCAATCAGCTAATTCAGCTCTGCAAACTGCATAGCACATTGTACCTTGTACATATTCTGTTTATAGTCAAAACCGGCCCAAAAATCTTGGTGAAAGCAAAACCATTTAAAAATCGAAACTGACATTCATAAAAGTCAAAACCAAAATAATCAACAGTCGAAATATGGAACCACTTAAATGAATATAATACATATCTGTCTTAGTGATAGATTGTACCTATAAGTATGTAGGAAAAATGTGTGCCTATAATAAATGACAAAATATTAATGCGCCTAAATAGTATTGTGCCTTCATGACCTTAATGAATTGATACAAGTGACTATACAAAGAGTGCATAAAGTACTATGCCCAATTGACTTATGCTCAAAATATTCCTTGCTTGATTTTCTCTTGATCATCTTCCTTAAAATTCAAATTATTGAGCTGCAATTTTAGTTCATTAATTATACTTAAAAGGATACTACCTCTTAGAATGGACATGGACATGGACTGGACATAAAATTCAAAGTCTTTATACTAGTGTATATATTTATCAGTTGGACTTACCAGGTGCCATGTCTAAAGAATAGAATATCTATAAAAGACGATATATTCATTTCACTAAATATTTATTGAAACACACTTCTAAGCATATTTCAAAATTATTTAGTTGATATTTAGAATTATTACTTAGTATAATGGATATATTGGGATATAGAGGGATTCTTTTGTATAGTTGTATGGCACCAGGTCAATCCACTGATGAACAAATACTCAAAGTATGGATGTCGAAATGATAAAATGAGTGGCAGAGTGGAATCATATGTTTTCAAGAGTGAACATATAAAGTACAAGATAAATTTCCTATCAAGTGATAGAGCTTCATGTATATTTAAAGTACATATATGCTTAAATCAATATAAGCTTACATATTTGAAAATCGAACTATTTACAAAGTTATAACCAAATGAAATTCTTACAAAAATTATATCAAGACATTGGATAAAAGATCCTGGAATTACAATGAATTGTGTGTGGGATATTTTCTGTTGATCTTTGACAATCTTTGACTTGTATTGTCTAACAACTTTTAGTTTTTATAAAAACTTCAAAAAATCTATTGTAAATTGCTTAATGTTTCTTGTAAATCTATAGTTAAACAGAAGGCTAGCACAAACTACCCACAATTTTGACAATAATTTTCATAAACTTTAGTTTACTTATAAAACTCTTAAAATAGTAGAACAAATTTCAGAAAATTAATCAAAAGTTTGAAATTGAGTTACCTTCACAGAGAAAATAATTCAATACCTGTATATCATTTCATTCATTGGAAAAAGCTGTAGACAGCGGTGATAGGCTTTGATCCATGTAAACCAAGTTTTGCACTGAAATTTTTAGACTATCATCACATCAAATATATTGAAATAAAATGTAAAATGTATAGTAGTAATTACGCAGTTAAGGAAACAAAAAACTTGCCCATTGTAGATACGATATCAACAAAATATTATGAAACACAGATAGCTAGCATGTGTTGACATACACAAGGTTATCATCATTAGCTGAAATATGAGAGATGATCAATTAGGCTATATTAATAGTTCTATTGCATTTATAATACGATACCTATCAATAGGCCTAGGCTTCAATCAAATGGGTGCAAATTGATTCTATCAGTGTCCCTGATACACAAATAAATTTAGAAAACCTCTTTACAATTAGTAGATATAGATCTAATAATTATTCATGTAGATCTAGCCTTGATGAGGCAGGATTTCACTGAGGCGAACCAGCCAAAACTCAAAGGACTCAACGACATAAAAATAGAATTAATCTCACCTGATTCAATGCAGCCTTCATTTACCCTTTGTCCCCATGAATATTATTCAATCAGCATGTCGATTTCTAAAATAGGCCCGACATAGGCCCTATATCTCCAAATCGATCATCTATCCTCTATCACATGCCTATATCTTCCCGACGTCAGTTTCACGTTAGTTATAATAGACGTGCGCACATCGGATGTCCATCGTAAACCGCCAATGACCTGATGTCGGCAAAACTTTGGCTTGACATCGTTAGATAGATCGTCGATATATGAAATAGACCCGACGTAGGGCCGACAGAATCTGAACCGATATCGATTAGTCTATATATAGCCTCGGGTCGAGGTCATTTAACAGAGCCAACGTGCCGGGATTGAGCCGATGTTCGCCCGATGTTGCGATGTTTGCTGGGATGTTTATTAGGTTCATGTGTAAAATTTTAATGTTAGGCTGTAAAACGTCCCTGTCAAAATTTTCTGATTTGGTGACTCAGTTTTACATTTCACTAACCTGAGTATTTTCTATATTATTATTATTGCAAAAATGAATATATTAAATAACAGAACACAATTTTATGGCATAATACTCCTTAGTTTTATTACACGACGTTTCAACAATCTACATTGTCATCTTCAGGTGAAGTGTGGAAGATGACTGTAGATTGTTGAAACGTCGTGTGTAATAAAACTAAGGAGTAGTATACCATAAAATTGTGTTCCATTATTTAATTTTATCTCTACCCCTAAATGTCGCTAAAGGATTATTAAAGATAGTGGACCACAGCCATATACGCCCTTCACGGCATGCGGATTGTTAAAATGAAACATTCATTTCTAAGAGAGTAATAGCATATTCAAGATTTTGGGGCAAGGGCAATAACTCTGCTGCTAATGGTCGAAAATAACTCAAATTCGAACTTGATCTTCGTTTTATGATTATGTATACACATACCGAATTTCATTTGATTCCATCAAAAAATCTAGTTTTTAGAGACTGTTACGAGCAATTGATGTTGATAAAAGCACTTACTGTATAGAGGTTAAAGGGCGATAACTCCTCAAAACTGACGTAAGAGGCCTAATCCTTGAAAAATCCTTGAATTTAATCAGAAGTAAACTAAACTTTCTCAACCCTTTCGATTTAGGTCCAATAACATCCATTTTAAGTTTCATCAAAATCGGTTAAAAACTAAGAGTAATAGCATATTCAAGATTATGGGGCAAGGGCAATAACTCTGCTTCTAACAGTCAAAAATAGCTCAAATTCAAACTTGATCTTCGTTTTATGAATATGTATACACATACCGAATTTTATTGATTCCATCAAAAAATCTAGTTTTTAAAGCGTTTACAAGCAAATGATGGACAAACGGGGTGCCGACAATATACTATTACTATATACTATATACACATCTCTCTATGTGGGCGTATAGCCATATACGCCCTTCACGGCATGCAGATTGTAAAAACGAAACATTCATTTTAAGTTTCATCAAAATTGGTTGAAAACTAAGAGAGTAATAGCATATTCAAGATTATGGGGCAAGGGCAATAACTCTGCTTCTAACAGTTGAAAATAGCTCAAATTCAAACTTGATCTTCGTTTTATGAATATGTATACACATACCGAATTTCATTTGATTCCATCAAAAAATCTAGTTTTTAGAGAGTTTACAAGCAAATGACGGACAGACGGGGTGCCGACAATATACTATTACTATATACACATCTCTCTATGTGGGCGTATATAAAAATGAATCTAAAATGAATCTGTAATAAACCTAATAGAAAAGAATACTGTCTATCATTGAGTTTGCTATCAGTCATTAACCAACAGTGATCACCTAAAGCAATCAAAAGCTAAATTTCTATCTCAATGACCTTTGAACCTATGAAGGTCAAGGTCATCAAAGGTCAAGGTCACAAGAAAAAAGCTTTCAAACTTTGAAAAAATTCAATCGGAAATTGCAAAATTGCAAAAGCGAAATTTACAAATCGGCTCCCAATGTTTTGTAGACTTTCGACAGCAGATTACATCGACACCAAATTTATGCAGATTTA